AGACTTTTGTGCTCCAGTGGTGCAGGATCCCGAAGTCTGCCTCCCACTTCCATTTATCTTCTGATATCTGGCCCCAGAATCACGGCTCCCCACTTCATACCTCGAAACCAACCACCGTAGAGATCTAGATATATCTTCTTACAACTCAGGCTGATTTCGTGGGTGTTCAGAGTGGTCTGGTAGATATCAGCTCAGTCCAAGGGACTGGTTGGAATAGGGTCCCCTACTCCTCCGCCATCCTTTAAGGGAGATTTGAGTTCTATTTTACAAATTTGGGAGAGGTAGTTAGGGACAGGGAGTGGGGAAACATGTAAGGCAGGGCCTTTTACAAAACCTATAAGGCAAGAGTCATGAGGTTCACCAGGGAGCAGAAGGGAGTGGCGTGGAAACCTCAGAGGTTGATCTTGGAAAGGGATCTGGTAGCTTCTTTCTGCAGGAGGGAAAAGCTGGAGGGGAGGTCTGCAGTGAGACTATAGAGGTGAAGACTGGGTGGTGGATTAGAGGAGGACTAAAGAAGTTAATTCAGTGCCATTGGAGGATAGATTGAACTGGGGCAGGAAGTCAAGGGAGGCAAAGAATGGAGTCAAGGAGAACTTTGTTTTTAGCTCAGTATACTGAATGATGAAACCACCAACTCAGATAGGAAATATCAAAGGAGAACTGCGTTTTTAGGGTTGTTGAAGAGTTTATTTTGGAGAATATTGAGTTTTTGGTGCTTGTGAGGCATGAGGTAGGGATGTCTAGGTGGAAATCTGGTTTAAAACTACAGGAGTGGATGATCTCATCAAAGAAGAAGAAGATACAAAGTGAGTCTGCATGAGTGTGCATGGTGGGGCATGAGTGTGTATGATGAGGCTGAGGTAGTGAAGACCATAGACAAATAAAAAGTATGGCTCCATGGGAGCAGAGAAGGAGAAAATATAAGAAGTGTGGGCAGATGTTTCAGAAATAGAAGAAGCAAACCAAATGTGAACTCACCCCATGAGAGACTTTTGACTGGTTATTTTTATTCCAATTATTGAAAGCCAATAGCAACTATTTTTCATGATATATTAGAAAGAAAATTTGCTGAAATTGCTTTCCCATCTTGTGAATGGTGTTTTGGGTAACAAGTCTTTATATATTAATTTTCTAAGGAAAATTTGGTAGTGAAGAAGAAACCAAAGTAACTCAAATCTGTGAACTTCTAAAAGTGCACTCTTAGAAAAATAACTGAATGCAGTCCTACTAACTTCCAACTCTGTACTTTTTTTCCAATGATCAGAAGTATTCAGGAGCACCTGGGTGGCTCAGACGGTTGGCTCAGGTCATGATCCCAGGGTCCTGGGATTGAGTCCCATGTCGGGCTCCCTGCTCATTGGGGAGCCTGCTTCTCCCTCTCCCTCTACTGCTCCCCCTGCTTGTGCTCTCTCACTTTCTCTGTCAAATAAATAAATAAATAAATCTTTAAAAAAAAAAAGTATTCAGAGACTATTTTAAAGAAAGAAACATAAATACAACAGATAGAGACCGGGGAGGGGGGGAAATGCTTTATCTTTCTAAGGAACAAATTCTTTCAAGGAGATGTAGCTTTTTTTTTCTTATTCTTTCAAGATAAGGCATTTGCTCTTTAAAGAACGGTCTCTTTTATGCCTGTGGTTCTTTTGGCTCTGGGTTGAGAGGATATTTTGTGGAAGAGAATGCTGTTTGATAGGTCCGTCTTGGAGCAAAGAGAAGACTGTCACATCACCTTCTCCCTTTGCTAATTTTTTAAGGGTAATACATAAATCCTAAGTGCACTTTCATTTCTAAGGGTCCCATTTGCATCAGCAGTTCACTCTGGAAGGCTTCTTTCATATACATCCTTGGCAGATCCAGCATCTCAGGTCTTACCTGTCTCTTTTTGGCTCTGTCCCATTTTTGTTGGAATCTTTCTAATTAGTGATTCAGTTTTCCAGATATTTCACAACATTTTCCATCCATATTTTTTTTTCCTTTTTGCCCCATACTACATAGAATTCTCCATAGAGGAGAATGGGTAGTTCTCCCATCTTCTTACCCTTGTCCATATAAGATTATTTTAATTTGGTCTTCTTTTTCTCATTGGCTGCAGTCAGAATACTGCATACTCCCAGGGCTGAATTTCAGAGTCATTTAGTGGTATGTTTAAAGAGGAGTGCAAAGATCAACTTCTAGGTGTCTGTTTGGGAATGGCATAACCAGAGGATGAATTGAAATCACTGCTTCCAGAGGGATTAAAGAAATATTCCTTCAACCGCAAAATTTTGCATATTTGTTATATCTGTTGGTATCCTGGATTTTTTGGTTGACAGCAATCAATTTGGACTTGTAACTTGAGTTAAGAGATATGCCCTTTGTTCAGGCAATTTCCAGTGTAGTGATTGGAGAGAGAGAGACTTCAGATCAAATATTGCTTGAACTTAATTTGAATTCCTTAGGATTCAACTTTCCTATCTTCAGAATAGGGTGCTAATACCTACGTTGAGTGACTTCCTGGATGCTGAGGAGCTGGCACCCTTCACCTCCATGAAAGCTCGCCGCTTACACCCTCAGCTTCATTGGCATCACCATGACTGTTCTCTACAGCCATTTCAAAGACTTCCCTCAGGGTTTTTGGTCTATGAGTGTTCTTCCCAGCAACTCACTTCTGTACTGAAACTGTTTTGATATAAAGAATTTGTTTATCTGTTTGTTTTAGAAGTGGCTGGAGGTTTATAGGGAGGGAGTCCAGTAACTTAAAAGTCTGTCCACATTTGATATAATAGGTACCTTTTTTCCTCTGGATTTAGACTAGATATACCATTTACCTATTGCTGTATAAGAAACTACCCAAAACTTAACAGCTTAAGACAACCAACACTTCTTATCTTAAAATTACTGTGGGTCAGGGATTCAAGACCATCTTATCTGAGTGTCTCTGGCTCGTGGTCTGTCAGAGTATCAGCCGGGGCTATATCGTCTGAAGGCTCCACTAGGGATGAAGACTCCGTGCATCCAAGCTCCCTCATGTGGCCGTGGGCAAGATGCCTCAGCTCCTTGTGGGCTGTTGGCGATCTGGGGAGGAACCTTGGTGGCTCACCACATGGACCTCTCCTTAGGGCTGCTCAGGTGTCCTCACAGCATGGTGGCTGTCTTTCCCCAGAGCAGTGATCCAAAGGAGAGCCAGCAAGAAGCTAGAACACCTTTTACAACCTGATCTCAGAAGTCTCACACCATGATTTCTGCCACATTCTACTCCATCAAGTCCCTTGGAATTAGGCGCCACCCCTACTTCCCCTCCCCCTCCTCCTTTTCCTCTCTCCTCTGCCCTTGCTGTACCTCACTTCCCTATTTTAGCAAACAAAGGTCACCTTTTGCCTGCTTGGGTTATCATGAAACTAGAGTGAGATGAACAGGATGAACAGGTGGCTTTGGAGGAGAGTTTAGGCACACCGTGTAACAGCACCATGTGCCCTGACCTCAGACAAAGGTGGTGTGTCTGTTGAGCTTCTGTTCTTGCATCTGAGGGAGCTGGTCCATCCCAGAGGCAGTTTAGTCAAAGCACAGGGTCCTCGGATGGGTGCTCTCTGACCAGGAATCTGCTCAGGACCAGCCCTCCCTTCTTCTCCTGGGGAAGCAGTACCAGGCATCACGTCAGAAACAGCAGAGTAGGTTTGTGTGCTCCTTCTCAGATTGCAGGGGCAGGTCCGGAAGTTCTCCTTCAGATTCTTTGGCTTACTGGCTATTTACTCATAAGGAAAGCAGTATTTGGACAAATTTCCTCGTCAGATGCCTGCCCACCTGCCTCCAATAGGCCACCCCAGGCCCCATATTTCTGGTGCAGAAGTTTCAGGATCTTCAGAAGCAAAAGAACTTTGGGACTTGAGGGCTGCTGTTTACTTTTATATCTGGATTCTTTTTCTCCAGCAACTGTGATCCGCTATGATTATCTCTAAGTTAATCCACACGCCCCCAACGAGGCGGGGAGTCAGTGAGCTTAGCAGGGTCCTGCCTGTTCTCTTTCTCAGGCTCACTCCATCATCCACACCCCAGTGCATTCCTCTATCCCACATGCTTCACACTGGACCTATCTCCGTTGGCCTCACCCATTACCTTTAGGAAGGTGGTTTTAAATGCTGGTCGCTTAACATGTCCCCACACAGGCTTTTGACTCTCAGAAGTTACACGCGTGGAAGAAAGAGAAGTGCGGTATGTTCTTGCTTCAACCCTGCAGATAATCCATCACATTCCAGCTCTGGGGAGGGTCTCTATCCAGAAAGCTGGAGGTGAAGGATGCCAAGAATTCTTGAACTGCACGTTCTCCCCATTTGTGGTCATCCCTTGCATTCAAGTCATTGCATTTATGGGTTAGAAAATCATCTCCTAGCTCAAGATTTGAAGAGAAGCTTCAGGTTGGGGGTTATAGGAATTTGGAAACACTGTTTTTTGTTAACCTTAGTTTTAAAAGCCACACTCCCTCTTGTAGTGAGTTCTTAGTTTATTGACCACTCTCTGAAGCTAAAAGATACACATCGCTTTGTACAAAAGGACAGGAGTTTGTCCAGTTAAGCCTATCTTGGTTTCAGTATTCACTGAGGATGCACAATGGAATTTGCCATAATTTACAGGGAACTCCCACAGTACATGGGTCTTCTGGTGTACTGGGTCTAGCTGACTGACAGCCTCTGGTGACCTCTTCATTCATCCTGTGCTACGTGTCCTTGAGCTGGAAATCTGTGCTCCCGATTTAATCACAAACCAGCCAGCTTTGGGGTCGATATCAAGCCTCTGCCCAGTAAACAATGTGCGAATGAAGAAAGTAAAATAAACAGGATATGCAAGTTAACTTTCTAAGTAAGTGAAAGACTTTGCCTCCAGGTCTCCTGATTAACTACTTTTCCTCCACTGATGTTTTTTAGGATGCACAGTGATTTGAAAAATATGGTCACAGCCTTTGTCTCAATGCTTGCTTTATTTTCTTTCTTTTTTTTTTTTTTTTTCTCTTGTCTTGTCTGTTTCAGATATACCAACACTCCTACACTGGATATTATGTCCTGAGCAAAATTCCTCATGGGTAAGATTATTCTTTCATTTTCTTTTAATGAGAAATACTCAGAACAAAGAAAGGGTAGAACCCTGAGTAGTTGCTTAATTCATAGAATTAAGGGCAGGAAATGGGGCAGCTTGATTCTGACAGTGAAGTCCCCTGATGTTGTGGGGCCTCCCTGGCTCCTCCCTGGCTAACTGTATCCAGCTTTTAGGGGGTCCCATGAATCTGGTTACTTGCCCATTTGTGAAGCCCCCCATCCTAGAACAAAGCCATCTATCTCCTGTTCTGGTTGCTGAGGTTTCCCCTTGAGGTCCTGCAGGGCAGGCCTATCTCCCCACCCTCCCTGCCCTGTTATGAGCGGTGGCCCTCCCAGGTACAGGGGTGGGGGCATGGGGGGGATAGCCCCAGGACTCCCACAGGGTTCTGGTTATCTATATAATAGAGCGGCACCCCTCAGCTCATCCGGTCTCTCAAAAATGTATGATTTGGGACCCAAACCTGTGTGTGGGAAGGACAGACATGAGAGCATGCATGATTTTATAAGGCTTTCAGGGCTGGGTAGCTCTGCCACACACAGCACAGGGATGCATTATCAGGAGCTCAACTCTGGAGTCCAGAGGCAGCAAAAGACACTGGTTAAAGTTTGCTGAAGCCATTTGTTGAGTCAGGCACGTGGAGAAGGCCTGCTGAACTAGGGATGAGAGGCAGGGATGGCTTTCTGCTTCTCTCCCATCCCCCGTCCCCTCCTCTCTCCCCTCCCCCACCCCCCGCCTTCTTGTTCCGTGCCTAGTCCTCTCCTCCACCCCTCTGGGGCTTCTTTCACAATCCTTTGGAAAGGCGAGGGGCTCTGGAAGTGCTATGGCTGGTGTTGTATGGGTTGCCTATGAATATTTGAGGGAGGCATCCTCATTTTCCTGAATTTAAACAAGCAGCAGGAATTGCTGAAAAGTATTGTTTAATAGGAGAGCATGAACCAGCAACATGAATGTTTACAACTGTGTCCATCTGCTTTCTACTAAGGTTAAGTAGAACATGGGCATCTCTTTGGAAAACAAACATGGAGAAAATAATTTCATTTGGCCTTCAGACAAAGGAGAGATGTATATAGATATGCAGCAACATGAGATTAACAGTTTCTGTGAGATGAGTAGACAAATCAAGTTCAAAGAAACTTAAGATGAGTCACTGTGGTAAAAATGAAGTATCCATAGGAATTTTTCATTTAAAGCATATTTTAAATATAAACTCAGATGTTTTCCCCTAAGGAGGAATTATTCTCTTATTTTTTTCAAGCAGATCTGCATCTTCAAAGCTCATGGCAGGCAGGAGTATGATTATGCCTTGAGATTTGTGTGCCCGTTGTAGGACAATGGAATGTATTATAGGTGACAGATATTTTTGTTCCATCTTCTATATATTTGTAAAACTCAGAGCTGTAAAAGCATCTTATGCTCAATACATTGTGTTAATACTTCACTGCATCAGTCAGAGTTCAGAAAAAGTAGATTTGGACAACCTGACCTAAACCAGCTGCAAACCAGAGGACGAGATAGTCTATGTTGACGACTTGTTTTCAGTGTTGATGATGATGATGATGATCCCCTCATAGAGAATGTCAACATATAACGGTCTGCCTTCGGGTTTTTTTAAATCATCACAGTAATAATAATTGCCATCATTTATAAATTGACTTCCATGCACCTACACCCCAGCACAGTAGCCTGCAAGAAAAACATTCCTATCCCCATTTACAGTGAGAGCTGTAAGGCGTAGCTGCTCTGCATCTCCTAGCTCATGTACAGCCTGGCTGACTCTGAACCCCATGCTCTCAAGACAACCCTTGAGTTACGTTAGAGCTGTAAAGATCAGATTTTTAGTGGTGCTAATTTCTTTCTTTCCTGAGGACTTTAATACGATTGAAAGTTGTAGCAGATGACTCGTTACGTTTACTGGTAAAGAACCCTCAGTGGATGAGGTCTATAGCCGTCCCATCACCCTGTGCACCGACATAGCATCTCCAAAGCCGGCATTGCTCGACCACCCACCTCTCCCTCTTTGCCACGATCGTTTATGGAAAATGAATCAATTCATTTCATATATTGTCAACATCTAATCTGTCTTAATGAGACCATGGTTGAGGCTTCAGGCCTCAGGTTTTTGCAGCTTCGGTGACAACTCCAGCAGTCACCTGAGCAGGTGCTCCACCGGATGGCAGGAGAAGGAGGCAGCCCTCATTCTAAGGCTTGTGTCCACGTAGATTTGGGGTAGAGAGGAAAGCGCAACTGTGTTTTTAAAACAAAAATAAGTCTGTGTTAAGTTATCAGGATTTACATTACTTATCATACCAAAAACGAAGAGCTTTCCTTGGTGCTTCTGAAGACACAGATCTGTACATTTCTCCCAATTTCTCACTTCTCTGTCCTCGCTTCTCCCCTCAAGTCTTCACTGTAAGCCCGAGGCCATGCGAGCTACAGGATGGAATTAGTTGTCATTTACAACTTGAATGTTGTCTTGGCTTCAGGCTTTCCAACCCATCACGGAGAAGGGTTGAATTAATTTTTCAATGCCCTCTGAATCTGGTTTCCTTCCTTTTTGCCAGTGGCAGAAGAATTCAAGGAAGGGTATACCCTTTCTACGGTGTGGTTCACAAGCCAGGAGAGGCCCTCCCTTGTCCTGTGTGCTCACTTCCTCCTTCAGAGTTTGGACCTCTGTCTGTGGCGGGAGCCGAGCCCCGTCCTTCTACACGCACTGGCTAGGGTTGTAATGAGAATCCCAAGGGAGCAGGGTTTTCATCTATGCAAAGATCTAAAACTGAAGGGAAAATTTATTTGACTTCCACACACTAAGTGTTCAAAAAGTGTATTCTTAAAAGACACTTATCTTTTACGCAAATCTGTTTGCTAAAGCAGATTTAAGGCTAGTCATTCTTAACATAAAATGTTTCACTAAGTTTTTATATCAGAAAATCAGCAAAATAAAACCATCTTCTTTAATAGAGATTATAGCCAGCTAAACATTTTCTATTAAGGATGCATCATGAGTGTTTTCATGACGTATTTTTGTAGACTCAGCTGCTTCTTGACATTTTCCTGACATGACTTTTTTCTGGAATGAATTTTTTCTTTGGCTTGAGTGCTTTTTTAAAAATATATATATTTCTGTATGATTACAATTTCTCATATTTATTAGGCTCGTCCTGAAGATCATATGGACTGGTGAAAATTATTCCTTTTATAACATAAATCTATTTTAAGGAAAATCTGGCATATCTCTTAATTGGGTGGCATTGGCAATGTGGGGTTTAGCAAACAAAGTAATAACAGATTAAATATTATTAGACTTTACTTCCTAGCCAGCCGAAATCCTTTCTGTTACAGGGAGGGGAGTGATACACCCCCTATAACAATAAAATTCTCAAAGCTAAGGCTTGTTCCATGACACTTGGGTAATTATAATGCCCATGTGATGGATGTTTTAATGTCTCTCTTAAAAGAAATGTCTATAGCCTCAACTATCTATAATTCTCAATACTCAGTGCATTCTTTTTTGTATCATCTCAATTAGACCTACCACAATTAATATTTAAGGCATCCTTGTCTTGCCTCTAGTGGAAGCAAACAAGAGTCAATGAGTATTTACTGAAATGCTCCATTGAGTAACAAAAGCATTGTTGCCATCCTTAAGAAGTTCAAAATCCTGTTGAAAAGAAAAGACACAGACTCTGTAACATTATAAAATCAAGTGGCCCAAGTGACTATTTTAAACACTGAACGCAGAAGAGAAAGTTGTGGTGGGCATCAGGTCTCATAAAGGAAGTCTGGCTGCAGCTGAGTCTCAAGAGTTGAACAAGAGTTATTTTTAATAGATGGAGACATAGAGCAGATATTCCAGGTAGGGAAGATCATTAAACAGACTTGACCTTTGCAATGAGCCAGCATCTTCTGGAATTAGTAGGGTTCTAGGCCAGGCCGCAGCACGGGTGCTCCCATGGAGCTCTGCGTGGGTACAGATGGGGTTGGGTGGGTTTTAGGATAGGCCTGCAGTGCAGGGAACCTAAACACCGCCTTGTGTGGTGAGTCTTTACAGTAAGAACACGGGGATCCTTTAGAGCAGTTGTGTTGAAAATGGCAGGCCTGAGTGAGTTTTCACGCATATATAGAAGGGAAGGGAGGTTTGGAGCATGGATTCAATTAGGAGGCCTGGTGGAGAGTAATGAAGGCTTGGAATGTGGCAGAGCCCAGTCCGTGTAGAAACCACACTCAGACTAATGACAGGTAGCTGGTGTTCTCCTGGAAAATGAAGACAGATTTTCAGTGTTAATTCCATGTGCCTCTAATTAAATCTTCGGGGCAGCCTGTGTCCTGTTGTGAGCTGAGCCTGGTGCATGGGAAGATTCAAAATAGTGAGTTCACCAGGGCCGCAGTGAGAATTCTCAGCACGCCTCAGTGCCTCTGTGGCTCACCGCAATTCCTCCCTGGCCTTTTTCTCGTGGATCGCCATGGGGCCCTGCTGCTGGCCCTTCCAGGCAGACACACTCGAGAGAGCCAGCTATGTTCACAGCTGCCAGAATTTGCATGAATAGGATTATTAGTATAATGTTCTAATGTAAAGAAATGTAAAATGTAGAAGAAAGTGATGTCCTTAAAATATCGCTTTGCATGTCTCTACCACGGCATCTAGGGGAGAGACTCCCAGTGTTACTGAATTTCACACATTTTCAAAACCATGGACGGCTCAGAGGTCTACACTGGACTCCCTCTAGCTGCTTCTCCCTTACCCTCCCGTCTTCCTTCCCCTTCTCCCTTCCTCCTTCCAGAATACAAACCTTAGCAAGCATTTTCAAGAGAACATGACTTTAGAGTCAAATAAATCTGGGAATAAATTCCCAGGCAGCCCCTTTACCTGTGTAATCACGGAAGAGTTACTTTGCTTCTCCAGGCCCAATCGCTCCATATATATAATGGAAATAAAATGCCTGACTCATAGGGTTCATGAAAAGGTTATAGGAAATACTGTAGAATAAT